ACTTGTTTGTTATTCCATCTGCATTTGTATACCAAACTTCAACTTCTTTTCTAAGACTGTGGTCTGGGAGGTATATTGGGGTTGGGGAAGTGGGAGACCTGGTAAGGAACTATGGGTTGTTGCTGTGGGGGTGGAGTTTGTAATGTAGTGGGTGGGGGCATTGGATGTGGCATGGGTGTTTTGATTTAGAGTGTTTGGTTGCACTGGGGTTGACCTGGTTGGGAGGCTTCTATAGGAAGTTGTGAGGGAGGCTGTATTTGATCTTCTTCCTGGGTCTGGGATCTCCTGTCTGTCTTCTCCATCCCCTGTCTTTCCTCCTTTCGCCTTTGTACCATCTCTCTCAGTTTCTGCCTTTCTTCTTGTGTTCTGTCGCGGTCGAGATACACCTTCCTGTATGCCGGCATGTCCCTTAATCGTGCTTTCTCCTGCAGGATCCTGGACCGAGTCGCTTCTGCCTTGAAGGCCACTTTCACTGGCCGGGTTCTTTTTTTTACAAACCCCCCCTATTGTCCGAAAATTTTCCAGCTGGGTCATGTCATCTTCTCCTATTGCTTTCATGATGCTTTCAATTGCTTTTTTTTTCCCTTGTTTTCTTGCTTCATATGTTTCCCCTTCAACTTCCTGGAGCCCATACACAAAGACTGACCTCACCCTTTCATTCTCCCACTGCATATCCCTGTGTATCCCCTCATTTAATTTTGTTTCCTCGACTGCAGCTTTCCTTTCCTTGTATGTGTGTGTGTGTGTGTGTGTGTGTGTGTGTGTGTGTGTGTGTGTGTGTGTGTGTGAGTGTGTGTGCGTGTGTGTGTATGAGTTTGTGTATGAGTGTGTGTGTGTGTGTGTGTGTGTGTGTGTGTGTGTGTGTGTGTGTGTGTGTGTGGTTTTGTGTGTGTTACCATTTTGTCCTAGGCACATGTCGATTAGACACTAGGCCTGTTGTATATGAGTACGTGTGTACTCACCTAGTTGTGCTCACCTAGTTGAGGTTGCAGGGGTCGAGTCCAAGCTCCTGGCCCCGCCTCTTCACTGGTCGCTACTAGGTCACTCTCCCTGAATCATGAGCTTTATCGTACCTCTGCTTAAAGCTATGTATGGATCCTGCCTCCACTACATCGCTTCCTAAACTATTCCACTTCCTGGCTACTCTGTGGCTGAAGAAATACTTCCTAACATCCCTGTGATTCATCTGTGTCTTCAGCTTCCAACTGTGTCCCCGTGTTGCTGTGTCCAGTCTCTGGAACATCCTGCCTTTGTCCACCTTTTCAATTCCTCTCAGTATTTTGTAAGTTGTTATCATGTCTCCCCTATCTCTCCTGTCCTCCAGTGTCGTCAGGTTGATTTCCCTTAACCTCTCCTCGTAGGACATACCTCTTAGCTCTGGGACTAGTCTTATTGCAAACCTTTGCACTTTCTCTTCTCTGTGTGTGTGTACTCACCTATTTGTGGTTGCAGGGGTCGAGTCATAGCTCCTGGCCCCGCCTCTTCGCTGATTGCTACTAGGTCCTCTCTCTCCCTGCCCCATGAGCTTTATCATACTTCGCCTTAAAACTATGTATGGTTCCCGCCTCCACTACGTCATTTTATAGGCTATTCCACGGCCTGACTACTCTATGATTGAAGAAATACTTCCTAACATCCCTTTGATTCATCTGAATCTTCAACTTCCAATTGTGACCTCTTGTGTCTGTGTCCCTTCCCTGGAACATCCCGTCTTTGTCCACCATGTCTATTCCGCGCAGTATTTTATATCTCGTTATCATGTCTCCTCTGACCCTCCTGTCCTCCAGTGTCGTCAGGCCGATTTCCCTCAACCTTTCTTCGTAGGACAATCCCCGTAGCTCTGGGACTAGTTGCAAACCTTTGCACTTTCTCTAATTTCTTGACGTGCTTGACTAGGTGTGGACTCCAAACTGGTGTGTGTGTGTGTGCGCGTGTGTGTGTGTGGTAGTGTGTGTGGTAGTGTGTGTTTAGGGAGGGAGGGTGTGGGTTTGGGTATGTTTGATCGGGTAGGTGGATGGGTTGGAAGGTTTGCTTATGTTCTGAGAAGTGCAAGCTGGAGCTTGTCTTGGTAACCTCATCGTCCCCTCTTGGCCTCATCGTCCCGTTGATCTAATCTTCCACTGTTGACAGTGATGGCTCTAAGTGAGGCTATCACACCTCATAGGCAGTCTTTCCTACATCCTCTCTTTTCTCTTCCATCTCCTCTCCCAGCTCTCCTATGCCCTCTTTCATCTCTTACCCTTCTCATCTTTTCGCTACCTTCCTCTCTTCTCACCCCTTCTCTTTTCACCCTCTCGTCTCTCTTCTTTCTCTCACTCCCCCCATCCTTTCTTCTTTCCTTCCTCTCTCTTCTCCTTTCTCTCTCTCTTCTCCTTTCCTCTTTTCTCAGTTTACCTCTCTCCCTCTCGATTTCCCTATTTCCCCTTCTTCCCTCCCCTCCCTCTATCCCCTCCTACACACACATGTAACAGACACTGAAGTTGGTGTTGTGGCGAGTATAGAGAGACAAATGCTAGACCACTTGTCAAGTTGGAAGCTCTCACCTTGTGTCAGAGGTATCATCTAAGCTGGTTTACTGGAATAAAGAGGTAACCCCCTGCTAACCATACCCCCGGCCGGGATTGAACCCGCGGTCATAGAGTGTCAAAACTCCAGCCCGTCGCGTTAGCCACTAGACCAGCTAGCCACAATAAGATTCATCCAACTAGGTATATTTCTACACCATAGGAGGTTAGCACAGGCACCACTGTGACCACAAATGCAGGTTTTTACAGACGAATCTCCAGCTAGCGTGGCCGTGACGAACTATAGCTCAAGTCCCTTCACTGCCGTCAACATGACTGCTGTCTGCCTGTACCTACGGTTTTGAGTGTTGGATGATAAAACAGGAGATTTGTCAAAAGTACTTTAAGATTGTTGTAGTTTCATGGACTAGGAAAATAGAATTATCCTTTAGCATGTCGAGGTGATTTGCATAAGCATTGAATATTTAGCAGCCTTTTTTTTTTATTAAGCTTGATGAATTTCTGGGTTGTGATTCACTGATGAACGAAATTTGATATTTTGTGGCCCATCACCTGGATGGTGAGGAAGCAGGATTAGTTATGCTTCCTCCGTCTACCTGTTGAGTGATCCAGGTGTTTTCTTCGTTACATGAATCTCCATTATCTATTAATGATTACTAGAGATTGCTGCCTTACTCCAACACATTGTTGTAGCGTGCTTTGATCCGTGCCTGTGAAGTTTCTCTGTTGTAATGAGAAACATACTTTAATTGGGCTTTTCACATTGGCGCCCGCTTAAACTGGTTATAACTCCGTTTGCGGTTGGGGTTATTGGACAAATTTCGGAAGCTGGGAAAATGTTTGTAACTATTTTCTGGCATATTGACATAGTTGAATTTCAAAAATAATTTTTTTTACAAGGAACCTTAAATAAATATCAGTTATTTAGAATCGTTGCCTGAACAGTTGTACATGGAATCGGTATATACTGAAAGATATAATGAGTGCAGTGTTCCTCCTTGACACATGTGCAACTTCTGGGTATCTTTTTCTGTTGACGTTTTACCATCCACTGGGTTTATTAATACAATACAAGGACATAATGTGAACAATATAGAACTATATGCAAAAGATTAGGTCAGTCCCTCAGCCTTGGAGTCAGTGAAAAGTGGTAATAGTCGTGAAGATTCTGAAAGCACAGGCAGTAAGACTGTCTCGTATATACTGGCGTTAGGCAACGTCAGTATATAACATAACTATGTAATATTACTTAACATGATAAGTATGAAATATTACAAAATTTAAGACGAAGCCAGTATATAAGCGACAGTCTTACTGCCTGTGCTTCAGATTCTTCACCACGACAGAACTCTTCAACTCCAAGGCTGAGGAGGGACTGATTCCTCAACTTTTGCATATAATTCTTCATACTACGTGACTCAGGTATGAATTCTTGTGTAGGTCTGAGCATGTCATGCTTTGTCATCAGTACAATATTGGTATATAATACCGACTAGGTAATGAATTAGATATACATGCAACGCCATGCGTTGCATGTATATAATTCTTCATGTTTATTCATACATGTATGTGACGGCAGCCCGGCTTGTAATTTAATAATTTCACTTACCGTAATAGCTATGTAATATTACAAAATTAAAATATAGATTCCCAAAATGAATATTAATTTCCAAAGCGCTCAAAATGCTTATGGAAGCAAATATAGATATGGGAAAAAGACAGGATTTTATCGGAAATTCTCGTAATATTATGACATCTAGGAACATTCCAAACTTACCTAACTTACCTGACTCTTTTCTCTCCAGCGATCTTTTATTTTGGAAATTGGGTCTAGTTCCTGAGTATGAGAATTGACTAGGCGTTTACAGTGCTGCTCATTATCTTGCCAGAAAACATATCATAAAGGGATCTGTGTCGCCTCGAGCAGCCGTCGGCTTTGCATGATATCCACTGAACGTTTACAACGGCCATAATCCATCTTGAAATATTTGTTCACCATATGCATTTAAATTCATCTTATCTGTTCTGTAGTCTTAAAAAATTAATAATTCTGATAATACTTTCTGTATATTGTAAAAATACTACTCAAAAATAGTTGTTCGTTTCAAGAGGTCGTTAGTGATTCTTTGCTCGTTTTAATGCTGTATTGCCATTATTTTTTAAAAATAAAATTAAATGTTCTTTATCGTTGATATGGATAATTCAATGTAATACAATCCAATTTAGACTTGTATAATCACTTGGCATGTTTTTGTTTCATTTCCACTTCTGATTTTTATAATTGTTTTGTGCAATTAGCTCGTATATGCTGTTAAATCACTACAGCGAGTGAATATAAAGTATGAAGGGAGTTTGTAAACTGGGTATACTTGTGTGCTAGATTGTGATGGACACAATATTTGGAAGCAAGTCTATACTGTACTCTGTATATTGTATTATCTATAATAAAGTAATTGTTGTTATTTTGCGTTGCAGAGCGTGTTGCGGGAGTTGGAGGGAAAGAAGCCGCAGCTGGACGAGCTAGTGGCCTCCGCTGACAGCCTGAAGGATGACGCCTCTCGAACTCAGCTCCACCAGAAGGGTAAATACACTCCTCGCCTTACCTTTACTCTTATTCCTAACTTCCTCCGGACTCCTTCAGTCGCTTTGTAGTTTTACCCTCGCCTAACTTGTCACCAATTATGCCTCGCCTCACATTTACGATCTTCTCTTTGAACGTTTTTCACAGGTATATACTACTAGGGTTTTTTATTATCAGCTGTTACTAATTTTTTGACGCCATATTTCCGCCTAATCGCCTTATTGTGCAATGTATAATTCTTCACGGATAAAGTGTGATAAACGTTTTTGTCATGCATTGGTCTGCTTGTTAAGCTCTCGGCAGGATTGAGTATTTTTCCACTAAATTAATCTGGTAAGAGGGCACTTTTTTTTGGCGAGTAGCAGAAGTTGTAATAAAGGCGAGTGTGGCAACGTGAAAGGAGGTTGCGGAAAGCGGTATCAAGAAATTTGAAGGTTTGGTTGAGGGCGAACTGTGTAGCGTTCCTTAACCTTGAGTAAGTATATTAGCAAAGAACGGTCGACAGCTGTTGTAGTACCATACCAGAGTAAAGTTATGCATGTTTATTTTTTTCGATTTTTGCCCCAAGGGCCGAGTTCATTGTGCAACGCCGCTCAACCTAAAAGTAAACATTCCACTACACAGTCATTAATTACTATTCCAAACTTTAATACGCATTACGGGAAAGGGGGAATTATATCTGGAGGGAGTCTCGGGAGTCAAGGCCCTCGTGGCCCGGTCCGTGACCAGGCCTGACATTGGAGTATTACTTATAATGAATTAAATTTCTTTCTGGTGGTTGTGCTCTGTTTTGTTGAAATGGAAGGACCTACACTTGTAGCACGAGCGTTGTTGAGGCTGAGGAAATTAACATTGTGTTGTGGGAGTTAATCTACTCTCTGAGCCCGGCCATGGGCCAGGCTCGTCTGGTGCTTGCCTGGTCAACCAGGCTGTTGCTGCTGGAGACCCGCTGTCCCACATATCCATCACAGCCTGATTGATTTGGTACCTGGTGAAGATACTTGTCCAATTTCCTCTTGAAGGCTTTTACACTTGTTCCAGCCGTGTTTCTGACATCTTCTGGTAAGATGTTGAAGAATCTGGGCCCGGTTGTTGATTAAAGTGTTCCCTTATTGTGTCCTCACACCTCTGCTCCTAATTGTTTATTTTACACTTGACACTTCTCTCCCATATATCTCAATTCGTATGTTGTTATGACGTGTGATGATTTGGGACAGAACCTCGATGTACTTTCCAGGCATTATATTATATGTATCCTCTCTCCACTCCAGTTAATACCTATTGTTCAAGACTGCAGGCGTTCCTAGTAGTTTTGGTGTTTTACAGATCAAAGTAGAGCTGTAAACGATCTTTGATTTGTTCAGCTCAATATTCTCCTGCTTCGAACTGGGGCCGTCAGCCACTGAGCAATATTCTATACGGTGAGGGAGCTCTAGTGATTTGAAGAGTGTCCCATCGGCATTGTTTTCCTTGTTTTGGAAAGTGCGTCATTACCCCACCCGTCATTTCCTGGCTGTCGTGATTCATTGTCTTGTTATGGTATTTTAAAGAAGGTTCGCTTCGACATTATTATTCCAAGGTTTTTACGTGTTTCTTCCGTTCTATTTGGTGACCTTCTTGAGTTTTGTATACAGTTGTTCCTTTTGAGTTCTTCGCATTCTTTAACATACATAAGCAGCTGGGGAACTTATCAAAATTGAAACGTTATGGTGTTTTCCACTCACTGGAAAACCCGTATATGTCTTACTGTTACTTTGTAAGTGTTCTCTTCCATAGTGACTTTTTAATGGCTTATTTTAGTGTTATCTGCTAAGGATGACAATAGTGTGACGTGTTTGTTGATACCTGTGTCTGCTATGGGATGTGAAACGGCAGAGGTGCCAGGACAGTACCTTGGGGGCACTGAGCTTTTGAACCTCGTGATGGCTGGATGCTAGCCTGTTTCACTACTACTTTTTGTGTTCGGTGTGGTAGGAACCCGAAAATCCATCTGCACTCCCTTTCACGTAATGAACATGGCCTTCATTTTGTGCGCTATCACTCCATGATAGCCATTTTTGTCAAACGCCTTTGCAAAATCTGTGTAAATCACATCTGCGTTTTGGTCGTCTTCCATTTACCTCCGTAATCATGTATATGGTTCAGCAGCTGTGGCAGCATGATCGTTCCTGCTTAAAACTATGCTGGTTCGGTTATGCTGGTTGTGCTGGTTCATGAAATTTGTAATGTGCCGTCTCATCACTCTTTCGACGATTTTTATGATGTAAGAAGTTAGGGCTACTGGTCTGTAACTTTTAGCTAGTGCTCTACTACTTCCCTTATGCACCCTTTAAGGCCTCCGGTATTTCACCTAAATGTAAGCTCTTTCTCCAAAGAATACTGAGGGCTCGTGCTAGTAGTACTTTGCACTTCTTTATATTAGCGCATCCACGAATCTGGTCAGGTGCTGAGTGAGTAGCATGTTTCCCATTTCTTTTTTCGAAAACTATGGGGATTATTTATACTAATGATTGTTGGTTAGCTTAGGTGAAAAATATCAAGACGAACGACCGGTTACAAAAGTCGGGTTCGCTCTCACTCCTCTCTCTGAGGCAGAGATTTTTTAAGCCTGTTTAAAAATGCCTCAGGAACCAGCTGAGTTTAAGGGAAAAAAGGATTTGAGACTTCGTTCAAGAAGAGCTACGTATGTGTGTGTGTTTGTGTGTGTGTGTGATTTCGTGTTTGTGAAACCTTGAGTGTTTGTTAACTCTGACGGTAATATCGGTTTTGTGTTTGTATGGATATAACTATTTCATTTGTGTTGGTAGCACTTGGAGGTTACCTTTATCAACACTGGTACTAACTGCTACTTGTTCTTGACTGATTTTATTTTTCATACCGAGCTTCTTCAGCGTGATCTGTGTTCTGTGTTATTATTTTATACGGATATATTTGATGATTTTCCGCCTGGCGCTGTGTGAGCGTGTTTGAATACTCGTGCACATGTGTAAGCTTACAGATTAATCTTCTCGTACACCGGGATATACTGCATTCATACATTGATCTGAGCTTCTCCACCCGTTACCATTAATATTCTCCCTTCATACATAAATACATGCAGTGCTGCTGCTGCTGCTGCTGCTGCTGCTGCTTCTGCTCCACCTCCTCCAGTTTTCCTCTTTGTTCCAGTTTTCCTCATATTTTTCCTAGTCCGTTTTTCTTAACTTCTCGTCCTCGTTTTCTTTCGTCGTTTTTTTTCTCTTAATGTCCCGCTGCCTCTTCGTTGCTCTCTTTCGAAAACACGCACGCGCGCGCGCGCACACAACACACACACACAACACACACACACACCACACACACCACACAACACACACACACACACACACACACACACACACACACACACACACAAGAAATTAGTGCAAAAACTGGAGGACCAAGCAGGGATAACAGGGAAGGCGCTACAATGGATCAGGGAATATTTGTCAGGAAGACAGCAGCGAGTCATGGTACGTGGCGAGGTGTCAGAGTGGGCACCAGTGACCAGCGGGGTCCCACAGTCCTAGGACCAGTGCTGTTTCTGGTATTTGTGAACGACTTGACGGAAGGAATAGACTCCGAGGTGTCCCTGTTTGCAGATGACGTGAAGTTGATGAGAAGAATTCATTGGTCCAACAATTGGCTCCTGGAGTTCAATCCCACCAAGTGCAAAGTCATGAAGATTGGGGAAGGGCAAAGAAGACCGCAGACGGAGTACAGTCTAGGGGGCCAGAGACTACAAACATCACTCAAGGAAAAAGATCTTGGGGTGAGTATAACACCAGGCACATCTCCTGAGGCGCACATCAACCAAATAACTGCTGCAGCATATGGGCGCCTGGCAAACCTCAGAACAGCATTCCGACATCTTAATAAGGAATTGTTCAGGACCCTGTACACCGTGTACGTTAGGCCCATATTGGAGTATGCGGCACCAGTTTGGAACCCACACCTAGCCAAGCACGTAAAGAAACTAGAGAAAGTGCAAAGGTTTGCAACAAGACTAGTCCCAGAGCTAAGAGGTATGTCCTACGAGGAGAAGTTAAGGGAAATCAACCACGACACTGGAGAACAGGAGAGATAGAAGGGACGTGATAACGACATACAAAATACTGAGAGGAATTGACAAGGTGGACAAAGGATGTTCCAGAGATAGGACACAGCAACGAAGGGACACAGTTAGAAGTTGAAGACACAGATGAATCACAGGGATGTTAGGAAGTATTTCTTCAGCCACAGAGTAGTCAGGAAGTGGAATAGTTTGGGAAGCGAAGCAGTGGAGGCAGGATCCATACATAGCTTTAAGCAGAGGTATGATAAAGGTCACGGTACAGGGAGAGTGACCTAGTAGCGACCAGTGAAGAGGCGGGGCCAGGAGCTTGGACTCGACCCCTACAACCTCAACTAGGTGAGTACAACTAGGTGAGTACGTACACACACACACACACACACACACACACACACACACACACACACACACACACACACACACACACACACACACACACACACACACACACACACACACGTGTAACAACACCTGTGTTGTGTCGTACTGTTATAGCCACCTAGAGTACACCACCAAGTAGTATGGTATGTTAAACATCATTCATTAAATAGAACTTTCTTTTTATGTCACATTAAATCTACTTTATAAACTACATTGTGTTTTGTACTAATGAAAATAATTGTTTTTGTTTCTGTCACAGTGATGGGTAATGCTCTGTCACAGTGATGGGTAATGTTGTGTCACAGTGATGGGTAATGTTGTGTCACAGTGATGGGTAATGTTGTGTCACAGTGATGGGTAATGCTGTGTCAGTGATGGGTAATGCTGTGTCACAGTGATGGGTAATGCTGTGTCACAGTGATGGGTAATGCTGTGTCACAGTGATGGGTAATGCTGTGTCACAGTGATGGGTAATGCTCTGTCACAGTGATGGGTAATGCTGTGTCACAGTGATGGGTAATGCTCTGTCACA